TGATCGGTGTTAGTGATGGAGCTTGAACTTTGTTCAGATTTTCCCTGAGTTTGGCAGCGAGGAGCCAGAGCTCTGATGTGGGTTCAGGCTGGTCATTAGGTATAAATTACCTCTCAGCCCGATTTTTCCCTACTGTCTCCTTCTGCCAATAATTTGTTGCAGCGCAGAGATTTCCAGTTATCTCCTCTTGTCAGTCTGTGTCCTTCCAAAACCACTTTATTGCCAGCGACTTGCAATAAAGGCTTCTGCCTTGTCACCTCTTGCAGGGAGCTGCTGGTCCCAGAGGGAGATGTGGCTGTCAGCTCTGGGAGGGCTCTCCCACATCCTCCAAAATGTGTAATCCACCTCCAGGACATTCACAGTGTGCCTGTGCAGACAGGAACATTTTTTTTTTTTTTCTATTGGTTGAGAGAAGATGTGGCCATAGGGCAATCTGCTGTGAAATCACCAGTTCAGTCCAGGGACTGTTATCCACTGGGCAGAGCTCGGGACTGGGCGACTGGGGGCAAATCCCCAGCTCTGCTGGTGGCTTTTGGTAGGATCTTGGGCAAAACAGCTCCCAGCCCTGTTCTTCATTTGCTAAAGAGAGGATGAAAACATTTCCCCAGCCCAGTTAGGCGTTCGATTGTTTCATGATCATAAAGCCTTTGATATCCTTTAATCAAAGAGCTGTTAAGGATTTTAGAAGCTGTTATTATTTGTGGAGTAGATGCTAATTTTCTGTGCACAGCCTACACGGACCATGGATTCTAATATTATCTGGGGAGTAAGTATTAAATGTTCCCTCTTAGGTGCTGGCAGAAGTTACCTTTAAGCCTCATACACATCCTGATTAGAGTACATTGTACTTTAAAAGCTTCTTCACATCTCATTAGACCTTCTCCTCTTGAGCCGTCTCATAAGAGGCTAATTTACATTAAGGCTAGGCCACGTCAGGGTCTGGATTTCTCATGAAAATATGTCTTGGTAGTAAAAGCAAAGCCCCTTGTGCTCCCTGCATGAGAATCACTAATGCTGTCCTCGACATCATAAATCCCAGGGCCATGCTCTGAATCCCAAATAATTTGGATGTATATAGAACCGAGACACACGACTCTTCCTTTGACAATTCTCATTTCCACCTTGGCGTGCCTGCGCTGCTGCATTAAAAGAGGGCACCAGAGGCTTTTAAAATTCCTGTGTACAGTACAAGCACCGTCTTAATGGGTGCTTTGCTCTCTAGCCATCACCCAGTGAAATAGTGGAGCCTGTGAGCACGGTGGGTGCCCCCCCAAACTCGAACATAGTCCTGTGGGGCTGTTGGCTCTGATGGGTTCAGCAGGAGCTGCCGGTGCTCACGCTCCTGCAAACCACTTTGCATACCCACGGTGGAAACTTGCAGTCAGGAAAGCATTTATCACCCGCTGCTGTGTAAAAAGGAATTATTTCACAGACTGGAAAGAAATTGCAAAACTCGGGCAGTGTAAAATACATTGTTCTGCCTTTGTGTTTGTCCTGAAGAGGAGAAAGCTCTTAAAACCTCGCAAAGCCAATTACACTTTATCGAAATGAATTACAGGAGTTGCTTATAAAATACCTACCATGAGGATGTGGCTCAGCTTGACAAACTGTATTTTTATTATTATTATTTATTTGTTTTTCCGCTTGGCCTGTAGCTGTACAATGATATTGTAATGAAGCATAAATGCTGACAGGTCATGTTCTGCTTCCATTGGCAGTGCTACTGTTTTATATTTAAATGACAAATATCTTGGCAAAGCTCGGTAACTTTTACTTTACATTTCTTTCTTTCAGACATTGTTTTATACCTCTCTGGAGTGGCCTTATTAACCTCTGAATTCCTCCAGTGGCACCAAAATGATCAAATGTCCTTTTGCGGTAAGCAAGGCAAAGCTGTCCTCCATTCACCATCAGGAACACTTCATGCCATTCCTTTAGGGAAGCAAAGTATCTTTCAGCAACAAGAAAATGTAGATCAACATCGTTCTTTGTGTTTGCCTGAACGTGACACGCCATAACTTTCCAGTTTTGAATTCTGCTTTCCTCCTGTAACACACAACGGGTTCCAAAATCACGTATTTTTAATGTTTGCTGTGCTAACTGATGCCAGAAAGGAACTATTTGAATCACTGTTATGAAATTTTAAAACCTTAAATACTTCCAGGACCATGGGGGAAGGGACTTCTATGTATTTTTCAGTATTTTATGAGCAAGTAGACCAACGATTGCATTAAACAAATACCACCGTAATGCTCACACACTCTCCCCAGGAGCTGTCATTTCTCACAGCGCTAACCAGCACAGCGATGGTGGCAGTATTTGCAAGAGCTGAGGACCAGGGCTAATTTCCAAGGGCTTCTGATAAGATCTGGTGTAACTGCAGAGGAACAGCAGGCTCTGGCTGTGGCTGCAGTGCTCAGCAGGCTGCAGGAACAAGACCCCTGGGGATGGCACCGATGCGAACTGATACAGTCCCTGGGTTGTGAAGTTTGCCACCCACTTAACTCTTAACCCAGGGCCATGCTGACTGGTAACACACGTCCCGTGGACTGTAGCAGTTTGGTTTGCTGGAGTGCCTGAAGGAGAAGCTGTCCTCCTGGTGACAGCATGCGTTGCACAGCACAAACCGCTCACCCCACGCTGCTCACCGGAGGTGATCGATCTAGTAACACCTCAGGCACCACGTCTGAGTTTCAAACCCACAGGACCAACACAAAGCATCAGTTTCCACTTTGTGGGGGATTTCCACACACATAAGCTGAAACTTTTTTGAAAAAACAAACAAACAAACAAAAAAAAAACAGGAAAATTTTCCATCCAGTGGGAATTGCAATGTAATTAAAAAAGGATCACAACAAAGGGTTTGAAGCAAGTGAGCTGGCTAGAAATGGCATTTTTCTGGGGAGCTTTGCCCAACATCCGTCGTATAGCGGACAAACACGATGCATTCATGCAAGAGCTGTCACTGTGCTATACAGAATCAGCATTTCTGCCTGGAAAACACTTGGACATGACCGCTTTCTTCTTCCTCTCCCCTCTCCACACTCATTCCCTGGCCTCCCAGTAACTTTGCAGCCCCAGTACAAACCTCAAAGAGGAGCAGCTGCACAAAACGCTGCGGGGAGGTGGAGGTGCCCTGCAGGTACTTCTAACTGAGCCCGTGGGGTAAGCTCCCAGTCTCCCCAGTGGGACACGAGAAAAAAAACATTGTTCTCGGTCTGCCACTGAGCTCCCAGCGAGATGTTGGTGCCAGGCCAGCAAGCACTAAGGAGTCTCTCTCCTGTAAGCAGGACTGTGAGGGCTGCCAGCTGTCCTGCCCTAACACCAGCGTCCCTTCAGGGACCGAAATGAGAAAAGCTGCTCGGAGGCCCTCAACCAGGGCACAATTCTAAAAGCAGCTAAATACCACGGTTTCTGGCACTGGTCTACGAACTACTCTTCTAGGTCCCCGCTCAGTTAAGTATTTCTCACTGAATTAAGGGGAATTTAAGTATGTGCTTATGCCTTTGCATGAACAAAGGCTACTGAATCAAAAGAAACTGCTGAGAGTGGAGTAGAAGCCCTTAAAAATCACATGGGGTTTGTTCTAAAAGTATCTGTTATTTATTCCCAAGTCCTTATCTTGTTTATAACAAAGAAATGCACAAAATTCCTTTCCCAAGGCTGGACAGTCCTGGAGCACATCCGCACCAAATGGGGACAAAAATAAGCTTGATTTTAGACAGATTAAATAAGCAAGCAAGAAAATCTCCTTACTTCTTTCTGCCCTCTTTGACTTTTTTTATTTCTCTGTACACAGCAAACCTGGCTTTGTGGCCTTATCCTAAGTCTGCTGATTTTGATGGAGCTCTTTCTGCTGGATTGAATGGGTTTTGGAGCAGGCCTTGTAGACAGAAGACAGCAGCATTTTTATACAGCTTTCTCATCTGGTTTCTAGAGAAAGGAATATTACATTATTGAAATACTGGTCCAGCACACAGCCCCCCTCAACTGCCAATATTCATTCTACCTTGTTGCTGACATCAAAATTACCCTACTTTCTCTCTGCGCTTTCTTTAGGAATGTTAAATCTGTAAAGACCAAACAGGTTGCCAATTTCTAACTCATTTCTATAGACAACCTTCAAACCACAATTGCTTCTTAAGCACATCGCACACAAGGATAGGCATACAAGCAATAGTTTCCAAACCACTTTAAATGACTGTGCCCCAGACCAGAAGCCCCATGAGGCTGCAGCGAGGACGTTTGGTGCCGGTGACTTTGTCAGACTGTGCAACAGCCTGCGGCTGGCAAGGGCTGTGCGGTCGCACGAGTGCGATGCGGCACCCTGGCCTCTTCCCCAAAAATCCAGCTGAATAAGTACATGGCTTTGGTGAGACAGAGGAATGCAAAACACCCTTGGTTCAGCTAATGAAGTGTGTGTGAATGAGCCAGGACATTTCTGTCACTGTGGCCCTGATCCAGCTGCCACCCCCAGCTGGGGGGCGATTCTCATGGCTGCACGGGGGGACAAGTTCCCGGCCTCTGTGCTAGCCAGGCGCCCCCGACGGATGCACTGCACTGCTTGATGGTATTTTTCCAATCCCTCACTTACTACCTAGGGTAACACTCCATCTCCAGCGTGTCACAGCGGTCTCACACGAACTTGAGTCAACGCAAGAGGCCTCCTGAGCTCAGGTCCCTTCCCCGCCCTGAAAGCAGAGGGGTACAGGCGGTTCTGGTTCACGTATATATTGTCAGAGCACTCAATACACACTTAGAAATCTTAAAGCAGGTTGTGACGTGTCGTCTATAACTAAAATATATCGATACACAGACACACAATGTGCTTTTGCAAAATGACAGAAAAACTGTTCTTTTCATGGTACCTCAATACAAACATGGCTGCGTTTGGCTTTTTGAACACTACTGCTCTAAGAGACATATTGGCATCAGGTAAATAAATTTGCTACCCATATTTAATCATTGTAAATAAAAGAAGCAGACCAATCTGCGTATGGATTTTTTCTTTTTTTTTTTGAATTTGCATGCTTAATACAGAACTAGTAGGTTTAAAATCTCACTGAGCATTCTATGTGAATTAACCGGATTCTAAAGTAATGTGAAAAGGAAGAGAATGAAAAGTACAGCTTTTCATTTAAACATAGGCAGCTGTCTTCATGCAGGGATTTCTTTAGTTTTTCTTCTTTAAAATTACACTTTGCATTAAAGAACATAGCCAGTGTAAACACAGTCTGTAACACTTATAAAACAGTGCAAATTTTGTAGATTTCTGGGAGGAGGTTGAAATACAGATATTTATAATGGAGGTAAAATCACTTTCTCAGTAGAAAAATACGCATATTAAACACCTATCTCTATGTTCGGAACTTAACTTCACAAAAGAGCAAGTTATAGTTCTATAGTGTGTAAGAAATTAGCATCTCTCCTAGATCTCTATTTTGGTGTTAGTGTCAAATGCATAATAATGCTAGTAAAAGCAACAAGAGAAATGTATTATGTAGAACCTAAGAAAAAAGTTATAGATAAAAACTGATGTAAGAGGACAACGAATAAAGAACTGGGGAAAGAAGCAATGGAAAAATACTGACCTCTCTGAATTATTGCACGTTTGAGATCATTCTCATGGCCTTTGGGCCAATTCTGGATACTTCTAAGTCTTAGGTCAGCGTTTGTTTCCACTTTGACTGTAGGGTACAATTTAGGAACCACTGCAAAATGTTAAGGATTTACTGAGCTTGTTTGCTGATGAAACCACAGGCAGCTGAGTGCAGAGTGCTAACTTTTATCCATGCAATCAGAGAGAACAATGAGAAAAACATACTGAAATGCAGGCAAGATCGCCTGCCATACAAGTATTTCTGGGGACTTGCTTCAGCAGATCTGACTGAGACAAAACTCTTGTGTCTATTGTGTTTTCATTAACGCTGTGCCAAAAAAAAAAAAGCAAAACTGGCTTCTGCCTTCGTTATTTAGAGCCTTTTCCTTGAATACTGTTGTCTACTGAACTCGTAATCAACTAGGCTGGGAATCTTCAAGAAACACACTGCTCTGAAGAAAAATCACCGCATAGCAATGTGTGATGCCGAGTGTCTGGGCAGCCCCTCTCATCCACAAGCAGCAAGAATGCTTTCCACGGAAGGTAAATGACATTATCCTCATGCGACTGATGGGACCATGCACAGAAGTGAGAATGCAAGACCTGGCCATCTTTTTAAAAATATCGCTTTTCACTACTTGCGCAGAGAGCGGAAATATTCCTGCTTCAACTAGATTTTAAAGGTATAAAGTGACAGGTAGATTGGGAAAGAACTTGTCTCAGGTGATTATCACTGCAATTGAAGTCAGACTACTAGTAAACGTGAATAATTTAGCACTTCATCTCTGAATATTGCTGTAGTAATTATTTTCTATTGCTGACGTTCTCAGAAAAAGATTAATTTGAAATTGTAACTATTGATTTGGGGAAAAAAGCTATGTGAAATTACATTGCCTTTACTACAAATCTTAAAACAGCTCGAGATCTTAAGAAATTTCAAATCAATGAATTCACCAACAGACAAATTTATACCTAATTTTAAAAAACGCCATTAAAAACCTGGAAAAATTATGAAACAATCTATAATCCACAGAAAAATTGTTTTAAATCCTCCTAAACATCTTTCAATATTCTAGTAGGTTGTTTAATAAAAACACATTGCTAATCATTCACTAGGAGTACAACATGCCTCAATAATAAAATGAAGGGATGCTGATGCAAGCAGGTGATTTATTCTGCAGTAGCTGTTACTATGCACTTTATCGATAAAGCTTCATCTGCCTTGTTTCAGCTGGTCATCTTCTAAAATGCATTTGAAAGAGAATGTTACTGGGAAGATCTCCTCCTCCTTCCTTTTGAGAATGATTCACCCCTTGTGGTCTGTGCAGGAGATAATCATTTTTGTAGCATGATATGATATTAGAATTTCAAACCGTACTGAAGGTTATATGAGAAAACCAACAACTTCTGTGTATTTCAAATACTATTACATAAGTATGGATGCTGGAGATCATATACAGTGAACTTTTATCCATCCCAGATTGTAAACCTACTGTAGAATTTGATGTGTTTTTTCTCTCCCCCCTCCCCCCCCCCCCCTTTTTTTTATAGAAGCAATCAAGCTGTACATTAAAAGACAGGAAGGACATTACTGACTTACAAAAGAATGCCCCCTTTGTCAATAATTTGTAAATGTAAACAAAAAAGTTCAAGTAGAAAAGCAAATAAGTGTGCCGCTGCTTCAAATATGATTTGTTGTCCCATGGGGTTTGGGCAAAGTTCTTTAAAAACACGTCTTCATGGCAGTCATGAAGCATCTCAGAAGTGTCCTGATCTTCGCTACCAGATATCACTGGTGAAGCTAAGCTCCCTTGCTGATAAAGGTAGCAAGGGGTTGTTCCTGTGAAACTCCTGGGGATCCTTCATGGTATTGTTAAGAGGTAGCTGTCCGTTTAGTAGTGTCAAAGGTATGTTACAGTATGTGTGGTGGTTGCTTATGGAAGCTATCGGCAACGTTGCTGCCGCCACGTCATATTCGTATCCTCTGCAATAATGTCTCATTTGCACAGAATCTGCTTGATGGTAATCAGTTAAATCAGCCCGCGATTCTACCAGCGTGGCAGAAGTGCCTGTGACAGCAAGGGAGGGTACAGTCTGGAGGTCTCCAAAAAGGCCCTGCTCCGCAGAATCCAGGACCTGACGCCGAGACACCACCTCCTTTTTCTTCCCTGGCATTTCAAAGACAAGGCGCTTCCAAAACTTAGAATTCAGTTTGCTGCTTCTTGGTCCTTTCCACTTCACCACTGAGAGAAGTTTGATGGTGTGCTTTAAAGATTCCACTTCGTGATAATTCACTTTCCCTTTTAATTCAGTACACTCAATCAAAATAACTTTGATTTCTCCACTGACTAGCATGTTATGGAGTCTGTTTTCCATCTCAAAAATACTCCATCCTCTCCTGAGAACATAGTCTGGAGTTAACACGATAATGAGTCTTCTGCTTTGCTCAACACATCTTGTGAGATCTTCAATGTAGGCTACAAATTATAGAAAGAGAGAAAGAGTAAAGAATAAAGAAGACTATTGTATCAAAACATCAGGCTTGCAATTACGTTTAACAAAATCCTATAGCTCACTGATCCACGCCATTTAAGACAAGGGGCACTTCATGATATACTCCAACAGAAACAGGATTGTGCATCACAACACATTTCTATTAATAGAATATACACGAGAAAACTCCTCAATAACATCCTCAGTCCGTAACTGTTTCTCCCTGTTCATCTCAACAGAACGGCATTTACATAATATCCTCACTGTGTAGATGCATTACTGACTAAAAACACACAGTTCACTTATGCCAAGTTATAGGTCAAGATCAATGTAATGTTTGTGTAAATTTTAACATTAACACTGGTTATGATTAAAGTCACATTGAGGGAAGCACACTCTGGGAAGCAGTTCTTGTGTTTCAGATGCAAGGGCAGGAGGATGCTGCAGGGTGTGCAAACCGTAACTAGCAAGTGCTCAGAAAGAAATCAACCTTATCACATGCAGAAGTTGTGCTATGGCATAGAAGCAGCATGGTAGCTCTTTCTTCTCTAGGTATTGACCACAAAAACACAGCAGCATTTTTTGTGGCTCAATGGTCTGTTTTAATACTGCAAACCTGTGCTTCTATGTACACCAAGGTATTAACAGAAACTTCACAAGTGACGGGAACAAATGGAAAATTTAAGCATATTGGAGGTGTTTATTTGCTGAGACATCAGTGATGAAGAAAATAGTATTCTTCTTTCATTCATGCACACCAAGAAGTTGCGAATGATCAGTGTAAGCAGAAATGCCAGCCCCATCATCAGCTCCATGAAGTCAGCTTACTGAACTTGAAACTGGTCTTGAAGTTGGACTTGGGTTTCTGATCCAGAGTTTCACTTGTCCCAGGGATGGCAGGGAAGAGATGCCAATTATAGTGGTCTGACATGGAACGGGATGGGAAAGAGGTCTACTTACAGACCTGATCTAAAACCCATTTAAATGACAGGACTCCAAGAAGTTTCAATGGGTTTTGGGTCAGGACCAGCAACATAAAAACACTTGAAAGAAATACGAAGATCAGAAAAGTGTTCACTGGTTGCGGAGCATCGTGATTGTGAGCTTAGAGACAGGAAATTATTATTTTAACTACATGAACCTTTTGACCATGCTACTCAGAATGTGCTATCTGACAACAGAGGAGAAGCATGTGTTAGAAATGAAGACTTGGACACAAAAGCTGCACAGAACAGATCTTTACTCAGCACAGGGCAGGGCCTCTCTTACACACACTGCCCTCTAGCAGGAACAACGATTACAAATAACATCATTAATCAACATCTGTTACTGCAAGACTCATTTTTATAGTCCCAGGCACCGTACCACAGCATGCTTATTCACACCACTTCCAGTAAAGTAAATAGCTACAAAATAGGCCAACAGGAACATTCTAAAATAGCTTATTTTCATGAGACTGAAGGCATAGTTAGCATCAAATCTGCCTTTACTAATGTTTTATTTCACCACTTAGCAGCAAGAAGAATTTCTTTCACAAATGGAAAAAAGAGGCAATTGTAAACATCCCACAGACACACACAAAATTAAGACATACACATACATTACAAATCTCTAGGCAACAATCCTGACTTTCAGTTTTATGATTCTTTAATCATGCAGCATTTACAGTTATTTTTTTTTTCTCTTAAAATATTTTATGAGGACAACCCCCACATTGCTCTGTGTAAAATAGTTACTCATTAACGAAAAAAAATTCAACATTATGATCCATGGGAGAGGCAGCAGAGAGGGGAGAGAATCAGCAACAATGAGAAAATGATAAGCAGAACTGGTGAAACAAAACTTAGGGAAAGGTAGAAATGTTCAATACAATGGAAAGAGATTATCCCAATGTATCAACAGCTCAGACTCTTCATTTTCTTCCTTTCTTTCTGCTCCCAAAAAGAAAGAATTTAGGTGGGAAGCTTCATCATTAGAGGTTGAATCTGCAAGATACAGTAAAACAACAAACTATCATGCATCTTTCCTGAGACATATTCATCCCTCCTCCAAACACCTCAGCACACTGCTATGTACAAGACAATTCTCTGCAGGACACATTCAGTACCATGTAGCCAGGTTAGCGCTAAGCACAGCCACGCATATCCTGTACGCATCCAATTCCAAAGAAAAAAGTCACTTCCCTTTCATATCTTCAAATATCCAGCAGCAATAATTTCAGTGGCAACAACCCATCCATTGCACCACCTCAACCAAAAACTCACCAGACTTTGCTTTAGTTGAAGAGGGAATAAGGTAGGAAGATGAGAGGAAAAATCCCCTATTTTCTCAGGTGTACACTTCTCCCCTCTGTGCCTCTCCCATACTTTGGTATGCCCTGCTTACTTGACGGATATTGCAACAATTTGGAGCTCTTTCTACAGACAACTTTATACAGACCTTCACAAACGACCACTAGGTGCAAATTCCAACTTGCAGCTGGTTCAATGATGGACACAGCCAATGTACAGGGGGTTTGCTGGTGCAGTGAGGATGAAATACACCGTATTACAGAAAAAAGTGGAAACCCAAATGAAAGACAAACACCTTTTCCAGCCATCTGGCCCAGAAGCATTGAATACGCCCAATAACTTAAGCTTGGGACAACTGCTACTACTTCCCTGGAGCATGTGGTTCCATTGGGTGCATCCTACAGAATGCCCAATGTGCACAACAAACATTTCTTCCAGGAAAAGCAAAGAAGGACAGGTTCCTGTCTTTCTAAAGCCTCTGGAAATTCATGCTTCTGCCCACCCTTCAGTGGTACAAGAGTGCATAAATTTTAGAGTTGCTAAATCACTCACCCACTCCCTTTCAATTCAGGATTAGAGACTGCTCAAAATAACGGAGGGTAAGCTCTCTTAAGTGTTCTCTCTATTGCAAGTATGAAATCCAAACCAGCTATACTGCAAAGGGTTGGTTTTGCCTTTCTATTGAGCTAAGAGGTAATTGTCAAGCAGTGGTTCTGTTTCACTTTCAAGAAGAAACTGAACAAGCACTTCAGGATTCACATCACCAACCATCATCAACTGCAAGACTCCAGACAAGTATATTTTCATCAGATAAATGTCATTTCATTAAAACTTCATTGTTGTCAAAGAAGGAGTCCATTTCAATGACATTTCATTATGAGGGGTGAAAAAATCTTGATGAAATCAGGATAGAATAATTTGTCTTTGTTTCTCAAAATTATATTGTATCATAAAGTAAAAATAAAATGGCAGAATTAGCATTAACCCACTTGATTTTATTGAAAAAGGACATTTTAATTTTGACCTTTTTTTTTTTCCCTCATCTTCTTGAAACACCATTTTGCAATATGGCACAAAAACAGTTTTCAAAACATTAGCATTTCTCATTAAAAAATTACAGTTTTGGGAACCTCTACCACTGACTTACTTGTGTCATGGCCAATGTGACCTTCAATGAAATATGGACAACAAGAAGTTTTAGACCCATAAACAAACGTGTTTTTTTTGCATGGTTGCCCCTCAGCAATGAAGATAGACAACTTGACAGCAAATACACACTCACTAGATACCGTCAACATGTAATGATGGTGAACGTAGTGTGGAGCACTGATGTCTGAGACACACATCCTATTTGCAAGAGTGTAATCACCCATAATTACCTCCTGAATCCTGAATGAGCCACGCTAACCATGGGCCAGGAGGAAACCCAGACAACCTAATATGCAAGTGGTCCAAGACCAAGAAAACTAAAGAACACTATGGACACAGAGTTGCTTACACAAAGAAATATCTGACTAACTAGATTCAAACAATCTGCAAAAGCAGCTGAGGGAGAGGGCAAGAACAGCAACCGTATCACGTCTTATGGATATTTTTGGCAAATGTGGTCTGCAGGACCACAAGGACCAAGCAGTACGTGCCATCAACCATGCTGGCCAGTTCCTGACACTGAAAATAACCAGACTTTCTGCCTCTGGTAACATGACTATCACTTGAGGAAGAGTTATTTATAGAAGAATAATTCAGTTCCCAATAGTTCCTAAACCCTAACTCGAGTTACTTTATTACAACAAAAATAACTGCTTTTCTTGCTTTTCCTGTTTTTTAAATATTTGTTGCTTGTGTTAGCTCCAGCAGGAACAGCAATGCAGTCAGCAATGCTGAAACAGAACAGTAACGGCCTCTGCCCCAAAGAGAGCACAATCCTACTATAAGCTAAGAGACAGGTGATGAGTACAACAGAGAGAAACAATAAAATAGAAGATGGCTTTGGTGGTATCTCCTTGAAGACCCAAGTGTCTGAAGTTGATGATTTTGGGGAAACTGGTAGAGCAGTGGATGTTTGGATCAAAATTCTGGGTATTTAGAATCAAAGACTCGTAGACACAGGCTGGGATCTGAAGGTCTCCAGCTCTCAATCCTCTGCCCCAAGCAGGAAGAGAAGATTCCTCAGGGCCTTGTCTAGTAGAGCTTTGAAAATCTCCAAGGATCTTCTCAAGGTTTCTTCTCTGGTGACTTTGGGTACTGTCCTGGTGTCCGACCACCCTCATGGCAAGGGAAAATTTCCAAATATTAGATTGGAATTTTCAGGGTTGCAACTTCCATCTATGGCCTCTTATCCAACAACTGTGCATCTCTGAGAAGAGTCTGCCTCTGTGCTTTCCACTGTCATTCTGCTGTATTTCATTTTTACTTGCCTGGCATTAACTGTAAGATTCATACAGAGCAAATAACCAGGGACTTCGTAAAGGAGTTTTTGTGGTGCTGAGTGCTCTATTTCCATTCCACGTAAATGGTGTCACATACCTAATAAAGGCTTCTTGGAAACCCCAGGCACACTGTCCAAGTGGGTTTTCTTCATCCAGGAACTTAGGAAGGTCAAATTCACCAGTCAACAACAACAGAAAACCAAACAAAACCAACAACACAAAAGAAACCCACTGCAGACGGGCAGACACAACTACAAACAGCCAGAAATCCAATATTGACTGTTGGGTGCTTTTTATTGGATGCCTGAGGTGCTCTCCTGTCATGCTGCCAAGCTCTTATTTCCCAGGTAAAAGCAAAGATTTTTATTCTATCAGTGTTGTTCTTTTCAGTGCCTGATCTCTACACCCTGGGCTGAGCTGGAGTGAATTGCTGGTGTGTTTTCAATCCTGTCAAGATCAAATGCGCGTACGCTTAAGAGAGCAGCTAGATGATGTTCTAATAGATTAGTATTGCTGGTATTAAAAACACAAATAGACAGTCTTGATCTCTTCACTTTCAGGGTTTAAAATAATTTGTAGAAGCCACTGGAGAAAAATATCTTCCTCTGATGTAGATCCAATTTTAGAAAAATCAAGCACAAATATATCGTTCTCTCTGTAGAAACATCCTCAGCAAGACAGAAAAAGTCTCAGATAAAAATGTAAGTATTTCCACTTTTTCCTCTCAACTCTTCAGTTTCCTTGGGTCTCCTAACACTGAATTAAAAAGCTCACAGGATTTGAGAGTCTGCTTGGCTGCGGAAAAGGGTTTGTTCAAAAAAGGTCTTGAAAAGTAATAGGGTGGAAAAAATGTTAATGGTTAAGAAGAATTAAGGCTTGCGGCCTCCTTATACAGGCCGACATGTTCGTTGGCGCCTTAGGTGCCCAGGCAGGGAGGTATATGTGCTGTCAGCTTTGAGGGAATGAAGAATGCTCTCTCTGTCATTACCAAAGGATACTCTTTAAGAAAGAATAGCTGGAATTAAAGTCAAACTGGGTCTTGCTGCTTACACAGCACACCACATGTGGCGTCTTGCTGCCTTGCCGCCCCTCCGGCCTGCACGGCTGTGTGGGCTTCTGCGTGAGGGAGAGCAGAGGAGCGGTGGCTGCTTGAGGCCAGTTTCCACCTCACCAGGTCACGGCTGGGTCCTTTCATGCTGCTCTCAGGCGACACCAAGAGTCTCCACAAAGGTCCTTGCTGGCTCCTGCGAGGTGGGCATCACCGAGGCCCTCAGTGCCCTTCCTGAGGGGTCTCCCACTGGGACAACATGCTTTGCTGGGATAGTAATTGTGTTCCGGCTTTGGAGGGCACAGAAACCGACGCTTCCTGCAAATGTGACTCAGGCTAATCTAACTTGGACTCCTGAGGCCAGGAATCTGCTTTCCAAAGATACGGCCTCGTCCCCCGCAGCCATCATCTCTGTCCTCCAAGGGCCTGCAACATCTGCTCCACACGCCTCCTTCAGACAGCCAGTCCTCAGCACAGAGCCAAAATGCAGAGGTGGGGACACTGCCAGGGTCCCCCTTTCAGCAGAGGAGCTCTGCTGGGTGAGCAAACCCCTGCTCAGGTACATCTGGCTCGAACCTCTCCCACAGCTGCAGAGGGGCATGCGGTGCCTGTCACAGCTTTTCCCTAGAGGCAAATCACCTGGCAAAATCATAATCAAATTCGTCCTGAACTTTTCTGCAGTCAGCTTTTCAGTTTGTTCAGAGAAGTATCCAGGGAAGACAAACGAAATACTACTTAACATATCTATTTTTTGCTTGCTCTCAAACCCAAACAGCAGCTGTGTTACTGCATGCCAGGAAGCAAGCGCAATAATGCGCACCCTCCTGTGGCAGGACCTTAAAACTGCAGAGATTGTGTGAAACAACCAGACTTAGAAAACACCCCAGATTTGCTGGGATCACACATTTAAGTACATGGGAAAAGATACAGAAGGCAACATCAGCACGGAGAGCGGGAAAGCATTATATCACACCAAGTCATTTACACCAAAAGACAAGGAAATGCGGTACACGTGAGAAGAAATATTTCCTAAAATCAAAATGGATAACTATGACCAAAACCCCGTTCTTCTATAGGAGTATGCCCTGAAGAGCTGTATATTTTGTCGCATCTGCCACTTTTTGTGACAGTCACTCTGAAATATGTTAGGTTTGCCTCTGAAATTTCTAGCAGGTCGATAGCACATCATGCTGCCTGCTCTCCTCACTACGCACTGCAAGTCCTTGTAAGACTGGTGAGCATTGCACAAATGACAGAAACAGCCACGTTCCCTTCTCCTTTGCACACCAACAGCTTGCAAATAGAGGAGGCTGAGCCTTCCCTCCTTCCCCATCACCTTTCTCTCTCTCTTGCCCCCCTCAAAATCAAGTGCCACCCCCCATTTCTTTTCCAAAGCTGAAGCGTGCAAATCACTCTCATTTCAGATCCGTATTTTATTCTGTATTGTCATTATGTCTGATTAAGCGTTCTTGAAGCTCCATATGTTAGAATCAGGCCCTTTCATAACACTGAAGAAGTGAGTTTGAGAGGAAAAAAGAAGTATTAAGTCTGTGAATGCTCATAAATGAGAACTGACATTTTCAGGTACCCTACATTTTCAGGAGAGGTTTAATGAATACCCGAAGTGATGACAAGTATTTGCTGAGTGTCTGACTGACAAAAATAGACAAAAATAAAATACCAGGCTGGCTGGTATAGCAATTGGAAAGAAGGATCTCATTTCAGATTAATCTGTGCGTATAGTTATTGGTGAAAGGCCAGATTTAAACGCCAATTCACTTGTATAATTGCAGTGTATAACTGCTATATGGTTGGATATGAAACAACTATTTACTACAGTCCCGTGATTTTTAACACAAAAAGACATTTTCTCTTATTATCTAATAATTCAGTACCGCTTGCTTGGGCTGTCAGAAATAAAAAGGCTATAAGCCAAGTCCCCTTACTGGAATATGTTTCAGGGGACAGTAAAACTCACTCCTCGCAAGGGCAAAGCACAAAGGAATAAAGGAAGCAGCCCTGGGCTAGGAGCTGCAAATGCACATGATCGGTTCAAGCCACTACAAGGGGCTGGCTTTGGATGACCTCTGCCTAGGCTCTGACTCCTCTCTCCCAGTGGGACTTGAGTCAGAGCTCTGCTTCCAGCTCCCTCAGATAGCAAAGAAACAGGCTTCAACTTCTGGGGCATGCACTGGGTTTGGCAGCAGCAAGGCAGCAGTTTCAAGTCTTTGGCAGGCTGCTAATGCAGTCATGTTCTAGCTGTTTCATGTTTGGGGACATCTGCTCCAGTACAGTCAATGCTTTGTTTTCTTGTTCCTATTTCCTATCCAGTAGCATATACAGAAATAAGTTCATACGCTCTTTTAGCATTTTTCATGGAAATGATTTGTAGCAGACAAAATTAGAGGGGGGGGGGGAGGGGGGGGGGCAAGGGGGAAGAAAGCATGCTTTTCACATGGGTAACATTTCAAATAAATATGATATTAAAGCAAACATATTGTGCCATTCCTTGACGTGATTCATGGTCTTTTTGACTTGTCCAGAAATGAATTTGGAAGAAGAGATGCCATAACCACAGCTCAGAAGGCATTAACTGTTGGTACAGACATCCAAAGGTGCTGCTGAATCTTCAGACGCAGCAGCAAAATTGATTTAAAATGGACAGCTGTATTTTACCATCAGCATGGAAGACAGCGTCAGAGCACAGGACCGTGCACAGTCCCCTGAAGAATTAGTATTACTTACACAATACCGATACTGCTCAGAAATGCAACACTTGGTCAGAACTCTAATGAAAAACTACATGTTTGCCATTAATTGGAAAACTAATGTAGCTATTTATAAGGCTTCAAAGTTAGGGAAAAAAAGACAAAAAATAATCCCATTTTCAATAATAAAACAGAAACCACAAATCTTTTTTTGAACTTTCATTTTTAGCTCCTTGTATCTGACACAGAGGTTTTATATTACACTATTGCTTGCAGCACTGCTGCCTCCCCCGTTGAAAGGTCCAGCTTCTGCCTCCACTGAAATCAATAGCAGCTCCCCCTCTGGTTTCAGTGGTGCAGGGACAAACTCTAAGCTAGAGCTCAAATCTGCAGCAGTGAGGAAACTTAGCCTCTCCTGACAACCACTTCACAGGGACAGGCTTTCCCTATCTAGTATTTATTGCACAGTCCAGGCCTTCACAGCACATCGGAGGGAATTAAAACTCAAAGGTCAGAAATACTTACTTCCGCTAGGAATCAGGTCCCTATCTGGAATGAAGAGTTTATATCCATAGTGCTTTTCGAGAACGTCTGGCAGGATTTCCAGTGCAAAGTGCTCCTCTTCGTTATTATCACAATCTAATGCATCGGGATCCACTTTGGTGTATGAGAGATACGCGTCATATTCCTTGTTGTCTGTAAGGAAACAAATTCGTGTTCAGCCTGATGTGTGCAAAAGCACTGCAAAGAGCACAGGACAGTTCTAGAAAACTGTATTATTCCTAGAAATGATCACGCATTTCTCAGCAAAAGTGGTACATTTCATATGAACATATAACCTGGCTTCTGCAGAGGAATTAGCTGGCTAGTATGTCTGGCTCATGTGGTCGGTGTACACACTTCATATCTGAAAAGATCTGGGAAAAATTCAAATACAAATATTAATGCTGGAACTTCTTATTTTAATCCTTTCTCTGGTGCTAATGGAAATCTTTCTTTCAACTCCCGTGCCTCAGGAGTGCTATGGTTATGGGAAAGTTTTGAGCTCTCACTTAAAGAACTTCCTTTCACAAATAAATGTGAGAAATGCACAACTTAAACTCAAATGAATACTGATTATACAGAAAGCAGTGTCAAATGTGAATAGTTCAAAGCATTCTTTCAGAAAGTCTTCCAAATTTTAAAGCCAGCATATTGTAACCTCAGAGGTCATTTGATCCAGGACATTTTACATACCTGGGGCTCACCTTATCGGAGCTAGAAATAACTCCAAGAGCAAGTGTGGAGCAGGGAGAGACTTGCTCCTGCACTAGGATGCCTGTAGCTCAGGGTGGAAACAAAGCCTCAGGGCTTCATCAAAAGGTGGGTGACAGAGGGGACCCCAGAAAATGCCTTGTGAGGAAAGCTGGGCTGTGTCACAGAGGTCTGGCAACACGATTCCCTTCCCCTCCTGCACAGCACCGGGGCTAAACTCCAGCTCTCTGCATCCGACACACAGAGCTGAGAGCTGGCAAGCGTGCCAGGAACAGAAGTGGCAGCGCTATCGAGCTCGAGATCCATGCTGTGATCAGGCTGTCTTAGTGACATTTCTCTTTGTTATTCCTCTGCAGTAATGGAAAAGAGTGTATTGAAAAAGTCAACCTTCAGCAATTTAGTCTCCAGGGAAGAGCACAGCTGCCATTATTTACAGAAATGAAAAATCAAACAGTTAATGTTGTGAGGACAAAACTGCATGAATGGGGGATTGCTGAGTGCCAATTATCTGTGAAGAACTGCGCACATGAAAGATAATGGAAGCAGTTAAAACTCATCAATACATTCCAATAAAAAGAAAAAATAGCTAATCATAATACAACACGTTCTTCAATGACCTTGAAACGATGGTGATGGTTACTTTCTTTTAATTCTTGACACAAAGCCAGGCCCATGAGGGTCAGAACCACAGACGAAGCATGTGAATAATTGTCTGTAAAAGGCAATTTGCCTGGTGTCACCAGAGCTCTATGGGAGGAGGTCCACCTGGTGTGCTGGCATTTCTCTGAAATCAGCAGCTCACAGAAACGGTAGTGACTGACGGAAAGTTGACAGAAGAACTAACAGCAAAGAAATGAAGGCCAGTTGGCTTTGGAGCCATGTCCAAATCCTGCTATCTTGTCTGTAATGAAGCTTGTTGAAACCTTTTAAGAGAAGCCAGCTACCACGGGATTCAGGACACAAACATCCCTGGAAACATCTGAGAGCTCTGTAAAGGTAGCAGAGCAAACCCCCCAGCACTGATGTGCTTGGTTACAAAGCAGCATGAAAGCTGTGTGCTAAGAGAGGAAGACAGGGACTGGGAACAGCGTGAACAGTCCCTGAGCTGAGTCCTGTCCCTTCCAGCTGCGTGGGTACCACTGCCCTCTCCAGCTGCCTCTATCCACTATGCAAGCAAGCAAAAGGGAGACAGAAGCAGCTCCCCAGGGCTCCCGTCAGTCCATATGCTTGTGCTACATCTCTGCAGTCCAGCTGCCTCTTCACAAGCCTCATATTTATGGGACGTTAACAGAAGGACCTAGCCATGCTCACCCACTGCTTGCTGTGTGCTTCAGATGCAGCACTGCTGGGGGCTGTTTTGTAAATGGCTTCCCTTACTCTTCAGTAGTGCTGAAATGTTTTGTCTAAAAGCAATGCTATGTACAACACAGGAAGTGAATGCATCCAACACTGCTTACACTGGGTATTTTTAACAATTGGATGAAGCAAATCTTTTCAGTTCAAAATCTTTTACTTTAAAGAAATACACTTCTAAAACGGGATATGATCCTGCAATTGCATATATCCAGCTGGCTTCTCGCAGGACCGCTACATTTTCACTCTATAGCCTACAGAAGTAGGAAGAAACACACTTCTACACACTGTGACTTGTGCAACATTCTGCCTCCATCTTTCATTCGGCAGGATCAGAATGAGCTACAAGGCTGCAATAGCTCTAAAAGCTGGCACTGGAAAAACAAGAGGGTGATTTCAGAATTGTCATGCACACAGAATCCTCTAAGTACTCGTGAGTTCTCTTCTAAACAACTGGAAAATAAATCATGTTTCATGAATTAAAAAGTAACCAAACAGTGAAGTTGCATTAATAAAAATGCAGCAGCTTCACACTGAAAACACAAGCTAAACAAATGAAAGCAATCTGGAGGAAAGCTACCACTTCACGTCACTTCTGGTTGGTGCAAACCAAGGAATCATATTGGTATAATCCAAAGTACTACAAGCAAATTACCTCTAAAATCACACAATCTTACCCTTCACTTTCTCCTACATATTAGAATAAACATTGTCCAGTATTGTATCGTATGAGAAAAGCATAACTGTAGGCTTTCCCACTTGCACAAAGATTGAGAGAAGTTTCCTGACCTCTGTTCCTGCTATTTAACATTCCACATTCTATAACCCCTTGGATATCATTCCAGCCATCCTCCAGAACTCCTATGGATTTCTTTGCAGCCAAACCTTTTCACACTTCATCTACCCAGTGCTTAACAGAAAATAATTATTTCGATAAAGGTGATGCTAGCCGCAGAAAGCAACACGTCTGTACAACTGCCCATTGTTTTTGCACAATGGGGGAAATGTGTTCCCCGCTCCTTTTGCAAATGCGTTATTGTTTCTAGATCCCATTCCAGACTGCCTACGTGACTCTTAAGTGCTGAAGTAGGCTATGAGAAGTACCTTTACTTGAATATTGTACTTTCGATCTTCAGCAGATACTAGTTATATGCACATTAATAGTATATTAACTATGCTATAATTCACTAGTATGATTCAAAGAAGTTGTATTTAGTTCACCAGGGCTTATTCCAGCTTCACAGGAGCAGGAACATTCTATGTTCAGGGAAATTAAAGCTTCAATTTAAAAAACAGGCTTAGCTTTAGGCACCAAACAGATCATATGCTACCAAAAGTGTGGGGGGAACACTGAAAAACACTCCATGCTATTCTTAAATGTAGTCTTCAAGCAAGCTGTATATTTCCATTAAATTGTTTTCATACTCACAATTAACTGAGGTAACTAGTTAACCTCCATAACAATTGACTTTTACTAGTTCCTAGAGTTAGTCAACAGCCTAAAATTAATTGATGGGGAAATGTTTAAAAGAGTTTTGCTGGGGAATCAGTTCACAAACAGCATCCAAGTACCCATAATTAGGTCCTGAACATTTCTTCCTACTCCCATTTGCCTATGGAACGGACCAGTGACACTTCAGTGAACAGACTTTGATTTCAGTAGGCTTCGACAAATAGTCTTAGGGATTTACACTTTTGGGTATGTAGAAGTTTGAACTTAAACTAGAAATTTCACCACTTTGGACCTCTGAAATATTTCCAGTGCATAAATTATGAGTTTTCTGAGCAACTGCTTACCATCTGCTGCTTCATCTCCTCCAAAGTTCTGTCTGTAGAAGAGCATTAACTCTATGTTGTAGCACTTATAGATGGTCACCAGCAAAATAAGCAGAAGAAGGATGGCTCCCAAACCTCCAGCAAGCTCTATTTTGTAGATCAAATCTAAAATTACCAGGGAAAGACAAAGGTTATGATCTTTTTGAACTTTAATTGCTCTAATACACTGTATAATTCCACGTAAAATTGCACAACTTCGTTATAACCACTGTAACATTAAGGATGCCTCTTTTTTTTTTTTTTTTTTTGGTTCATTACCTATTATTCAACTCCAACCACTCATTCCTTCTACTGTCTGTCTGAAATTGCCATCCAGAATGCATTTGAGGCTATAATCATAATTCTACCAGGGACTTATGTAGTGATTTTACACTGAGGATTAATCAACCTTTAATGAGCTTGTGGAGTTTGAAACTTCTATCTTGGCAGAGAGCATTAAATACTGTATGCAGCATGTGAGAATAGGTTTACTAGGCATATTGTACCCCATTTGGGAGACTCCGGTCCCCCAAATAATATTAAACTTTGGTTTTATATTTGTGGAGCCAGCAGACATGCTGATGTAAGCTGCCAAGCCAGGACTTTGGCTGAATCACTAGTGAATGAACTGAGCATGTAGAGTGCCCAAAATAATGTGAGGAGCCAGAAGCACACACTTCAAGTTGTGATGGCTACCAATGGAGTTCTCACATGTTTGTTTAGCACATGTTTGTTTAGCACTTTACATGGGAACTAGTGCTTGCTAAAATTTCCTACTGGGATGCTTTTATTAGAAAACATCACAAGCAGTCTATCCCAAAGTACTTCACAAATCCATCCAAATGCAATTATCCATCTTTTACAGCTGGAGAAACAGAGGCCTGGAAGCAATGCGTTCGAGGTCATTTGGCAAACCAATGCCAGAATGAGATAAAAAGCCTTAAATGCAGTGCTCTATCTGACCTAAGATGCTAGCTTTAACAGTATCACTCCTTATCCTGAAATGTCCTCGGAACACAATATTGCTTGCAACACCACTTGGCATATTATATTACCATAAAAGATAAAAGATACCAATTTGACAACAGCATCTACATTAATTAGCCTCTATATTATATATTAGCATCTATATTATAGCCTCTATATTAATTAGGTAAGATGTCATGAAGATATTTGCTGCTGTGATAAATACAATATGAAGATATAAAAACTGTAATACAGGCAAGAAAAAGTTTTTGTGATCTTTACACTTCTAAAACTTAGGCCAGAAGAAATTACTGGTATGTCATTTGTGTCATTTTCAAGATAAAAAGCAAATTAGTTGTGTATCTTTTGGGGTTAGCCCTGCCTCACCATGCCTTGTATTTCAATAATTAACATCAGATGTCAAGTTATTCCCAGTTTACAGTATCTCTGATGTCTGTCTGCTGAGAAGCCATGGACTAATAGATGGAAAAAGTCTATTATAATAGCTATTTAATCTCTCTGAGAACAGGGAATTCATGGGACTTTTATTACACTGCAAGATAAAGTTAGCATATGCTCTGGGGAGAAATCTGGTCAAATAGAGAACAGAGTTGGTCAAAATTACTTTTCAGTGGAGAAAAAAAAAAAAAGTAAACCTTTCTTGTACTGAAACTTTTCTACTAGGAAATTGGGATGATGGCAGAACTGACAGCTGGGAAGGAGAGAAAAGGATGAAGGCCATTCAATTCTGAGCATTGCAGCTGACCTATGCTACCTTGCAGAATAAAGTCCAGGAACAGAGCCCGTTGTATTCTCTGATCTATGATCCACTTGCTGGGCAATGAACACCTGGAGTTAAGCAGTTGACAAATCCCTGAGCACATTATGTTGCACGCTTTTGGAGTTTGCCTCTTTGATTTGGCACCATTTGAAGCGGTTGCACGTTACAGGACTCAAACAGCCCATCCGTGGTAGTGACTTGTCTACTCCTCCCCCAGCAAAGCTGGGTTTGCTGAATGACTATTTTTGCCTGTGCTGTGTCCTGAAGATCATCCGTAGCCCACACAGGAGCACAGACTTGAAGCCACTTGCCTGGGCAATGGCAGGGTGTGGCAGCAAAATGGCAGTGAAAACACTAATTCCAGCTCAAAAAGTAGAACTGACCTCCCTTCTACACCTCCTCCTTTATTTGTCTTTCTGCCCCATAACTCTCCTAGGCTCCAGACTTCACTTCTGGTCTCCTTATCTCTATTCCAAGGCGGGGGCAATGGGGGAAACCCCACAAGCACTCCGTTTTCTTGCCTGTTTGAGCTCTTAGTCTCTTCTCTGATTAATGCCTTACCCCTCAGGTAGTCCTCACTGAAATCAATGGGGAAGGCAGTCAGGTAAATGCAACATTAGGAAAGGAGCTGAAGCTGGCCTTTGTGCCATAATGGTGGCTGAAAATTAATAAATAATAATATTCAGATAGGTTCTAACTTAAAATATTTTTGAAGGATCCAGCCACAGCTGATCGTATAGAGGATAATAGCATTTAAAATACTAGAAGTCTCCTAAATACCCAGTAAGTGAAAGAAAAATATAATTCAGAAGGTTCTTCACAATTTAATATTACATCAGCATCAAAAAACTTCTTGGTTTCCTGTAGGTCTTGAACAAAGGCAGCGTCCTTGAAAATAAACGTTGAGCCAACATAATTGTAATATTTACTTTTATCTAAATTCACTGCTTCTTTCCACTAGGAGCACTGCTCGATTTTACTCGCAGTTCCAGACAAGTTATTCATGTTCCAGGACAGTTATTTTATAGTGTACTTACACTTCAGTCAGGAAAATACTGGACTGTTTTCAAATTCATCTGAAGGGAACCCTGAGCTATTTCCACAGCTAAGAATAAGTGGGTGTATATTGTGATCCCATGGAATTCAAGCATGGAGGGCAAACAATGCAAAGCTGGATTTGGTTCATTTTAAGTCAAAAATAAAAATCCTACATGATGATGCATGATCTGCGGCTATCAATATAGCAGCATTCCTGGCTATCAGACAGCAGCCTGTATTAAAAAGGGCAGACAACCTATAGCACTGTTGCAAGATGGAGCCAAAAGTGAGCTACCAACACCTCCTGCCCAACAGGGACAGAGTAGCCCTTAACAAGTAGGACTTGAGAGGGAGAGACTTCTCTGACCAGGAGATGTGCTTCCTTCTTGTTGTTCCAAGTGCCCAAGCTGTAGGAATCCATGATCCTTTGACACACACATAGAGGATGCTGGTCAACAGCCCTCTAACAGTCCTGTCCTAATTCCTGTCACAGGTCAGTAAAACTAATATTTCCTGGCTTGTGAATACTCTACAACCAAATCCAAGCCAAAAAAAAAGCTAGGATAAGAATTATATCAAGATGCAGAAAGGAAAAGTTTGGTCAAGTATTAGTAAGAACTTAATTAATACTTTAAAAAACAAGCCAATGGGACAGGTCATCAAAGGACATAGTGAAAATACTGGGGATATTTTAAATGGCACTTTAATAGCTTGAAAATAAACTATCGAGAATGCCCAAGGGGAATATAAGCTTTCTACAGTCACATTTCAGAGAGAAATGAAATAGCGGCTGAGAAGTGATCCTCTCCACCTCCAAATTCTGTATTCAGCACTGCTTCTTCCATAATTTCAGCAGAGCTCTGAAATGTCTGCATTTTCTTGTTATAAATAAACCTAGCTTGTTATTCTAATATATGCAACACAGCTGAGCATTTACCAGTGTCAACACAGATATACATGCTATCAGTTGTGTATTTATTAGGTTCAGTGGATGGAAAGGTAGAATGCTTTTTGGCACTAAAGAGGCTAATCCTTCATCATGATGACCAGTTTCCTTAATTAAAGTTGTGACACCCTGTCAATTTATATGTTAAATAAACATTTGTGTGTGTTCTGCATCACAACTGCAGGCCCTTGTTTTTCAAGGTGCTTTGTGGTGTTTGTATTGTGTTTTGTCTCTATCACACATAAAGCATGGCCTATGTCACACCCTTCTTCCTGGGAGGACATAAAACTCTTGTGTAGGAGATCGTATAAGCAGAGTTGGTCCAGTTTTGGCAGGACTGAATATGGTACTTTTGCACATATAACCTGCTGCTCACAAGAAAGAATAGTAGACAAGGTTGTTGAGCCCAAAATTTCCTCTCCCTACTAGTTTGTGTTTTTTTTTGGTCTCAATACCATCTCTCCCTTACCTTTAATTATATACAGATTATCTGAGGGTACACGAAACACAGCACTTAGCATTCAACTTGGCTTTAGGTGAACCTGCTGACTGTGGTTCTTTGCCAGACTGAAGATGCTGGTGAACCTGGTCTCAACCCCATCTAGAAATGCCTCGGCTGGTCTTCCTGTTCCTTCACCTGGCTCTTGGTTCATTTGTCCCATGGTGACATCTACCTAGGCTCAGAGATCAACCTTCAGCATGCTCAGGTACTAACAGCATATTTAAACCTTCTTGTAATAGGGACACCTCTGTGGGATTTAGCTGCAAGGATGTGATGGAGACCACCAGCTTTTTTAACCAACACTAACACTGCAATCCACAATCTGCTGCTAAGGGGGTCCTTTGCCTCGGTGGTCTGAAAGCACATGAAGGACTGGAACAGCTCTCGCAGGTGTGCCTTGTGAAAACATCTCTTTTTCTCTTTTGGTAAATGATTTATAGCCAAAAATGACAACAGAGATCTGGACAACGTTATTAACGGTTTAGTCTATCTTCTGTGCTGACAGCTCTATGGTTTCACATTACTTTTGTACCCTGAGTGTGTAATGTTTCCTCACTCTCCCAACAGTTACTGTCTTACAGCTTTGGTGCTGCCTAAGACACTCATGTTACAGAGATTACAGTCAAATTTAAACGTCACTCTACTTACAAATAGAAGAGGTGATTGAACTAACAAGATAAGAACTGTAATGAGATACTGCTACTGTGCCTTATGATAACAACTTCTACAAACAGCACAGTAGCACCTTTTAATTTGGCACGTTCAAACCCAAATGGTTCCTGTTCTGCTACAGGTAACTTGTCAATAGTGGTAGTCCCTATTCCAGGCACTGTCTCCAGCGAAGTAATGCAACAATGAGGTAATTCTCCATTGATTTGTAGCTACCACTACAATGTTTTCATTCTCCTCTGCAGTTAGAAATCAAAATGCATGACAATTATTTAAAGATTTCCATTTAAACAGTGAAGCTGTTTAAGGAAGTGGAGAAGTATGAGAACATCTGACCTCACAGCTGAGGTTCCTGTTGTAAGGAGCAGACATTTTAACTCTGTCACACAATTACCTCTGGTCTAGTCAGTCAACTCTGGGTCAAATTCATAGGTTGTATAGACCAAAATACTTCCACTGATTTTAGTGGGGCTTTATGAGTGACAATATTCCAGGCAAGCACACCACCTGTGAGGCTGATTCACTAGTCACTAAAGAACAGTTCATGATTCTTTTTTTTCAGCAAATAGTAAACTGAAGCCATAGCACAAATGTACGTCAGCTCCAGCAAGCACCCAGGAGCTCAGCCTGGCTCAGACAGGTCAGCAGGACCTTTGCTACTGGCTGACCCATGGCTGCTGAGGCAAGCGAGATTACAGGAATAAAATACTGAGAATTACCTTTCTTGCGCAGAAGAACACTGGCATGTTTCCGCCCATTCCTGTTTTCCACATGACATGTATAGTTGGCCAGATCTGCCTCCTCCACGGCGTCAAAGATCAATGTCAATTCAACTTCTTTTTCTCCAAGATGTTCTCTGAGGAGTCTGAAAGGAAAGATACAACCTTCTCTTAGCTGAATGAATACGGGGTGAGAGATTCCCACAAGAACCATGACTTGTCAAGCACAAGATACAACGTTTTCCAAGCCTCCTTGCACACCTGAAGGAGAACTTGGAAAGAAAGAGACTTCACAAATGCAACTTTCCCAACAACCAAACCCTTTTATCTCCCCTCATGTCTGCAGCAAGGAGCAGGAGCAAGTCAGGAGGAATGTGGCAGTCAGCCCAAGAGTTGCATGCTGCTTGTTTACTTCGGCTCCCCTGGAATTAACATGCTAAAAACAGTTCCTATTTTAAAAGGAGCAATAAATACTCACTTTCCAGAGAAGTAAATATGCCATGGCTGAGCAAATTATAAGGCAATATTTTAAAGGCTGCGTCTTGTGCTACATTTTAATGCAATCTTGAAAATCAATGGAAAGAGCTATGTTACTCTGGAATTTTCCACTTTTTTTTTTTTCTCTAGACCTTGACTTTATAAGGGGACAGTATCAAAACCAAGAGCTCTTTGCTCCTTTGAGAGCACAAATGGGACATATGAAACTCCCCCGTAAGGAACAGAAAGTTCTATCAGAGTTTCAGGCCAGAGGTGCAGCCTTTTTGTGTCATTGTTCTAATACCACCATTAAAATAATGCAAAGTAAACGCAAGTATTTTCTGATGACGTAAGTCTGAAAATAAAACGCACTGTTCTCTCAAAAGACTTATTAATTGCTCAAGAAAGTTATGGGTCCTTTGAGCAAGGAAATGTGATCTCAAGTATAACCTGCCAGGTTCATTTGATCCTGGTAGTGTATTGCTGCATGAAGGGAAGGGGATGAACATAAAATGTGCAATGTCCTCGCAGTTCAAAGCTTGTGAACTCACCATTGCACATAGCCCTGCTGGCAGTCTAGTATAGCTTTATGGATAAAACTGTATTTTACTTTATTTTACTACCCCAAATAAATCTTTCTTCCAGATATTGATGAAAGGCACAGGGGAAGACGGGTAATTAGCCAAAGTACTGTTTGTGTTGCATGGAAACTGTTTCTCTCAGAGAGCTTAAATTTTTCATTAATAACAAATACCAAATTTCTCTACTCAAGCCAAAGCTGTTTGGGGTTTTTAATGAACACAAGCATTTTCTTATGCCCAGTACATAATTTCATAAAACAAACACAGATCTCCACATTTGATAACTAATCAGAAATGTGAGGGTGTTGCACCTGAAATTCAAAAATGCAAGCGTGACTGCTACAAACCAAATACTACAGAAAGGTTTCATACAGCACTTTGCCTTTGAAGGCTTCTGTGATCTGACAGAAACTCAGAAGACACACCGGGAGCACCCACAGATATTCACCTCTTTCACTACCGCTGTGTAACTTGCAAAAAAGGCAAATGAAAAAACAGTAGTTTAAGGACAGGCACGTGTGTTGCATTTGGAAACTTGAATTGCATCATTTCTGCAAATTCACCCTCACTTATTTCTGTATTTCTGCTTTTTTATTATTATTATTCTGGCCCCGACTCCTAGTGTTGAAAATAATGCAAGGAAGTCTGGTTTTTCACCATTTCTGGACAGGAAAGAAACCTCCCAGGACAGCCCAATCTGCCTGCAGACTCAAATCAACATAAACCACTGAGGATCAGATAAATCAATTCTCATTTACCTATTAATATTCCATTTATACAGCAAAATATTTTAAACTCAGGGAAGTCTTCCTTCTCTGTTGGTAAACAATATGCTTTACAAATTTTAGCCTACAAATTATGCTGCAGGGAACAAACAAAATCATTAACGTAGAAGATAACTGGGACATTAATCTGGAGCACTCCGTGAATGTGCAGATTGTCTTGTGTTTATTATAATGAGCATATTTTATGCACAGTAACAATTACGAAGACATTACAATTAAAATAAACTATTATTCTGAATCTATTTAAAATAATCAACCTTTAGCCTAGATTTAAATAATATATGGTCAGCTAAAAAGGAGCTTTCATAAAGAAGAATACGATTTTTCTTCACTTCTTTTCATGCTAATTGCCGTCTCTAGAAAGATCTCAGAATGAGATGTATTGGGAAAATGCTGACAGACAACTTAAACATTGTGCTGGTAGCAACGTGCAGAAAAGTCCTGGTGTTAAATCTTCCTGCCTTTATTATTTTATTTTTTTTTTAAACCAGTCCTCTACAGCTTGTGCTACACTATTGGCACAGAAATAGAGTCACCAATCTACATTTTATTTTATTTTTTAGCATGTGCACAGCCGTTAGGTCATTGCATTTTGCAGTCGGTTCAGAGAAAGTGGAGCACAGTATTTTTGGGGAAGAAAAGGAATATAGCGTCAACAAGTTAGACCTTAAAGCAGCAATAACATTTGCTGAACATGCAGAAAATGAAGCTCTGTCCTTATCTGGGTTGGTGGGAACCTTGCCAGTAACACTGCCAACACATGCCAGTTCCGACAAGTTGAGAAAATAATGGCTCTTTTTTTCTGGTTTGATGAACAAACTGTAAGAGTAATTCCATCATTGAATACATACAGAAATCAGTGGTGCTTGACAACTCACAATAAACAGGACGGAGGGAGAGAGAGAAGAGATGGGTGAAGTGACAAAAATACCCAATGCTTTCTTTTTGTTCAAGCTGAAGCAATTTATTTGCTCTGAAACAAAACGTTTTGTCTACTGATGATTTATCAGTTAAGAAAACGTGAATTAAAAAGAACTGTAATGTCATAACTCAAATGTTTTCTTTGAAGAATATCCCATGTTTCAGATTTTTCAAACCTTTTGTCATATTTTTCTCTGCATTTATGTACTAAGTCGAAACTGAAGATAAAATATTTTTGCTTTGAAACCATATTCTCCTCCAATTGCCAGGTTTTATCTGACCACAGATAGCAAGGCCTGAAGAAAGCTTCGGCTGGGTTTCTTTGCAGGACCAAATAATTGATTCCAAATTCTTACTGATCGGGACTTAGCAAAAAGGAAACTTTAATTCCTTTTTAGATAGAGGATCTGGACTGTGAACAGGGATAAGAACTCTAGTCCTTCCTTCTGGTCTTTACCAGTAGTCTGTTCCTCATTCTCTGCCCATAAATTGTCTACTTAAATAGTGTGAGCTTTTCAGGAGGGAGCTGTCACTTCCTCACTTCTCTGCAAGTACCTAACGCGTCAGCCAGGCAGCGATGGTAATTCTGCCTCCCTCCCTTAGCATCCCCTCCTAGCAGGGTACAACGTTCTCATCTTGTCTGGGTGTTTTGCACCCATCAGTTGACTTCCGCGGGTGAAAAGGCAGAATGTAAAATTAATCAGCAGGAGGAAATAAGGCTGCAGTTCCAAATGTCTCTATTCACATATTTCCATGCCTCTCAAACGAGTTAAACTATTTGCACTTTAAAAATGGTGAAGACAGAAGAAAAAAAGAAAAGAAACATGCTCTACAAACTGGGTGCTACGGTCATTTGCAAACTCTTCTGCAGTGCTGTCCGAAGAAGGAAAAGAAGCAACACATAGGTGGCTGGGACAGTAAGATATACGCCTGAAAATAATTATTTGCTATGGCAAAGAGACGGTGTTGACATTTCCTGTGGGCTCCTTATATCATTAGGTGCAATGGACAACTCTGCAAGCAGGCTTAAAGGCTTTGATTCCTTCTCTAATAGCCCTGGGTCAATTTACATGGCATTTTTAGTACTGCTGTGAAAAGCCCACCTAGAAAAAGCAAAACTTTCTCCTTTTCCCCCTATGAATTTCTAACATATAAAGAGCTTAACTCAGGGGAAGGCAAGGAGGTGCATTAGAGAAGGGCTTGTCACCTCTCAACCCTGCAGTACTGTCTGGTTACTTTTCATTATGAGGCTCTCTAATGAGGTCTAATAAATAACCGCAAGGCCAGAGCTGCATGTAGTACTTGTGGCGAAGCCTGTCCCCAAAACAAACAGTTCTGGGGGCTTGATTTTAATAGGATTGCTCAAGTCACATGCATCCTTATTTCAGTGCTTTCATAAAAGCAGGAAAATTGCCTGGTAATTACGCACGCTCCAGCATGCACGTGAGGGCTGGGTGCTCCCCAGAGTTGTGTCCAGGGTAAGGACAGCAAAAAAAATTCAGGGCTTTACTTTTAAATGTGTGAACTAATTTAACACAGGGAAGTAAAATGGTAGATATTTGCCGAAGGAACAACCCATGGCTTATTTTGGTCTGCTCGTAGCAATCCCCACCTGCTTGTAGTTTTTCAGTGTTAAAAACCCAAGATGCTGATAATGTCACGTACAAGCACACTGATGGGAAAAGCATCTAACCAGCCAGCTTCCCATGGCTCATCAAACTTGAAACATACATGACATTTTTTGAAATCCATCAATAAATACGACTGGGTGGGAGATGCGGGCAGGCTCGGGGCGCTGATGGAACAGTCGGTGCCGCTTCGTTTCCCTGCAGCAGCAGAGCTGCAGCGGGATGCACAAACAAGAGCTGCTACTATGAAAAAGTCATTTGCGAAAAGTTACTCCTGCAGTTGCTATAGCTACTTCGAAATGAGAAACAGGATGGACTGTGGCACTGCTGGTAACGATGCAGTAGGTTGTGGTAAATGCTTTGAATGCTGGCTGGGATGCCCACAGGATTGGGTGTGTGAGAAGCAGCTTTGCTGAAGAGAAGCTGAATAGCGAGGAGTCTGTAAACTGAGTCAAAGCATCTTAACAGAGAGAGAAAAGGAGTCACTGCAAAATTAATTTGAAACACGAATATGGAATGAGATGGGGGCAATGAAGTACAAACGCAACTCTTTCAAACTCAATTTCACTAACAGAAATGCACGTCAAGGAAAACTTTGGAACGTCCCTGGAGCTGGAGGGCTCTTTAAATACAAACCTCAAGCTGTACTTCTGACGTGAAAGGAGAGCAAAAACCAAAACCACTCTGTTCAGATACCAGAGAAGACACAGTGCTGCTAAATGCTGATTACGTGCCATGGCAGAAGTTTCATGTAATTGTATTTGTGGTCAGAAGCCCAAAAGAGGATTTTACACTTAAAGCCATTCTGATAATATTTGATAAATTCCATCTGTACACAATTAAGGTGCAACACCAGGTCAGTTATTTTAGTGTAACTTAATAACCAGTGGCTAAATGAGTGAACTGCAAATTATTGATCCAGAGATAAAGCAATGGAATCTTTCTCTCTGCCTGCTCTCCAAAATCACTGTTAGAAGAAAGAAACAACTCAGAAAACAGATGAAAAAAAGAAAAAAAGCATGCGATGGAAGATGCAAGACCTTAGCTTTCTTTATGATCCATTCTCATCATCTGTCTATAGGAGCTGGGACCACCTTGTCCAGTGTATAATCATAGCTTAGTCTTTCCTCAAAGAGCTATTAATCAGGTAATTATTCATCAGGGAAGATCAGAAGATGCTGTTATGTGCAAACTCCATGAACATTCATGCAGATGCAAGTATTTGTTTTCTTTACAAGTGGTACAGCAAATGATAGCCAGCATCTGGACCAAGCCCTGCACAATCTTTGTATCTGACTTCGCACACAGTCTCTTAAATGGTAAACAAGGAGGAACAAATGCTGCTCTCTGAAAGCCCTGGTTAAGTCCTAGAGAGCTGGATCATGAGCAGACAATGCATTCAGTAGGAGAGAAAAAGTAGGGTGACTTTGACAGGAGACTATTCATCTCTGACATTAACACTGATGCTGAAATGAATGTCATCTTGCAAAGCCTGCCAGAAGAGCCGGCTGCAGTGGACAGCATCATTTCCATGCAGGACTAACATCGACCCCCAGAACACTCAGGAGATGTTTCAGCTACTGTCAGGGGAATCTGGTGACAGATTTTCAGGCACATAGATAACTACTGTGTCTTTAAAGTTTACTCACTGGAAGGATGCAACTCACACTGCCCTGGCTCCAAGTCATTCATCTGCCTTTAGACAGAAAATTGTTTCCACTTACAATTAAAAATGTGTTTTGAAAACAAAACCAAACCACAAACAAGCTTTTGGGATATGCAACATTTCTAACACTAAGTACTCCAAAAAATACCTGATTTCGCCTTCTCTGATGTGACCTTCTAATTCTTCTATGAATTTTTCCCCTTTCATCCAGTAGATCATGGGGCCTGACTCTCCGCTGAATCCAAAGAAAGCTTTGCAGGCCACAGTCAGCGGGTTGCCTGAGGAAAACAAAAAAAGAGAGGGTTAGACACATTGACATGGCTGCTATAAAGAGAATGACTAAGAGAAAACTTAATGCCTGATACACCTCCCCACATAAAACTGGGGAAAAAAAGTGAATTATTGTAAACCTGAAGAACAGTGATGTGGATTTGCATCTGGAGGAAAACAGCTGTGAAAGGAAACTCAAATTATCCATCATTTCATTTTTTACCCCAAAAGATGCTACATGATCAATTTGAGGGTATGGAAACGGTGGCAATGTAAGGTGTTATAAAATTGGTTATTAAAAAAAAGAAAAAAGATTACTTTGTCAGACTCCTGGGATGCCTTCCAAGACAGAAGAGTGTGCCCTAGTAGATAGGTAAATCACCAAACTTACTGCTGCCTAATCACTTGTAAAAAAAAAAAAAAAAAGACACAGTGATAATTTCATCCTCACTTAGGTAGAAATCAAATGTTAATGAAGTCTTGGTAAGCTGTTCAGAGAGCTTTTAAAGATCCCCAAGCAATACATGATGCCAGTGAGCTCCAACACTTGTGTTGCTGTCAACAGGCTTCTGGCGAAGGGCCGAACTTCAAAGCATCGCTCCGGCAACACAGGAAAGAACTTCTCCCTTTCAGCTGTTCAAAAACACCTCCAGAAGAAAGAAAAGAGAACTTGGAAAATAATCAGATTCCTTTTCTCTCCAAGAATTCAGCATATACATGGCTTTTTGGTTGGCTAGGGTATTAGTTGTACTGAGTAGTCAAAGACTGCCGTGCTTAGACTGCCAGGACAGATGGGTGTCTGTCTGCACAAAACAAAAACAGAAAAAAGCCAGGAGATTCAGGAGAACCATCCCCGCTCCCTTAGTGTGCAAATAAGCTGCTGCACCCCCTTTGTTTTTTTTACCCAGCAGAGGTGGTCAAGCTTACAAAGCAGCTGTAGAGGAGCTACATGGGAGGCCAGGCTTCGTTTCATGTCACTGGAGACATCTGCTGACTCCTCCAGGACTTGGATCAAACATGCAAAGCATTTTACAATATTTAGAAGCAATGTTTTATTATTCCAGCCGGCATTATTCAGTGCCAGCAGGAGACTCTTCTGACACTCAGGAACAAGCACACAATTTTTAGGAAGGGCTAGTCATTCGGAGCCTGTCGCTTGGTTGAACATGGGCTTATGGTTTCACACGATTGACTTACTGTGCCTTAATCATTCACCTCTTGTCTGCCCAGCGGTGACAACTGGCTGTGTGCACGCTCAGAGCGTATCAGAGCTGGGTGTTTAAGCGCCTTTGCCTAACCCCCCAGAGCTGTGCTAAGTCAACTACTTGTACTTGCCTATCCATTCTCTCAGTGCCCAATTTAAGACATGTCAAAAGAGTCTGATTATGCAGGAAGCACAGCATTCCCAGCCACTGAAAATCAGACGCCTTTAAATTGTTTCCAAGAGCCAAAATTACAAGTCCTTTTCAAACATTAGGATACAGCCAGAAAATGTTTAAAGACCGCACTTGAGTCTGTGTCTCTCAAATAGCAAGAGACAGAAATGGAAAGGAAATCAGAGTGTTTATCCTGAAGCCGTGTCGCAGAACTTTTCATTATCCCCGCATTCACCACGAACCCCGGCACCACAGCTGGCCACCGTACACATGCTGACGCTCACAGATTCACACAACGGGCTCAAATGTCCAGACCACGAGGCCAAGTGGGTATTCACAGCCATCTCCATATCCTCCAACACTGACCAGCGTCACAGGAAAGTTTCCAGCCTCATCAGCTGGTGAAGAGTCCGACTCGTGGGTGTCCCACAAACCACGCTGTGATGGGAGCACCCTGCGAGGTGCTGCGTGCCCACCACGGGTGATGGGGAGATTCGGGGCCTTTGGCTGCATCCATCTCACGTCTTCCCAACACGCCGAATGCCAGCTGCGAGGTCTTCTGCGCTGCTCGCCTCAGAGGCACGCCAGACGTCGATTTAAATACCACTTAGCGATTCCTGGCATGTCGCTGCTCGGTCCACTGTTTGATTTTAATGGAAAAAGACAATCGCAGCAATGTGAAAAAGAAAAATGGCTAGATGGGGCCTAGCAGCCTTGACAGAATATGCCCTTTCCTTGGCACACCGTGCTGGGCATTAAGTGTTACGGGCAAAATATATCGCAGGGCGTGCAGTTCCTCGAGCCAGCACATTTTTACTTTAAATAAATAATCAACCCCCCGAGGTAATGAAAATAAGGTGAAGCTAAAATTTCTATACTCGCAGAGTAAATATCCTGAGGTAATGTAACTGTTCTGGAGAAATAAAGTTTTCTGTACAAATAGAAAGAACTAAGAGAACAGCTACGGTATGCAGCCCCTGTAGTAAATGAACCCAGTCCCTGTGCCGGGACAGCCTGTGTCCCCGCTCTGCTGCCAGGGAAAAACACCAGCATAAACTAATATGGCCAAGGGCAACCTTCAGTTAGAGGAGATTTGTATTTCGAGCTCTGAGCCCAGGACTGAAAACCCCCCAGTCCACCTCACCTGTGAAGCCACCGCTGATCAGACGGAGGTGACAGCGGTGGCATTGCAGGAACAGCCACCTCCTCTCGCCATAGCACAACGACGCACGCCTGGCTTGGGCTGATCTGTCTTGGGGTGGAAAGGGCCCGGGGCTTGGTGACACCCCCAGGTCCCATTCAAGCCCAAACTCTGGCACACCGCCCTTCTACTCCCCGAGCTGATGGGGACGTCCCGCTCCTCTCTAGCTCACCGAGGCAGCCCCTGGTCTCTAACTCTCCCACTCCTCTGTGACAGCAGGACCAAGTCCATATTCCACACAAGCACTAAATGGTCCCACTACTAATTTCTAATTAAAGAAAATTTCCCCTAGCATCATTTAATTAACCACATCAAAGTTCCTAGAATGAATACTAGCCTGAAAGTTTTCCGTTTATAAATGGTTTCTGCTTAAACCTGTTCCTGTTTCACCTGCAACTTCACTTAGTAAAATAATTTGCTGAGAAATGGAGAAAATGATTAGAGAGATTTCTAATGAATTAACATTTAAGAGAACGTTTCAGGACACGAGGAGAGAAATTAGAAAGGGTTGCTCACAGACATCCCTGCGCCTACTGCTTCGCTGGGGTCACCTTGGGAAGGAAAGCCTCCGGTCCCAGCAGCAGTCTCTGCTTTACCTTTTTTCCTTACTCCGTCAATCAGGCAGGCTTGTTGCAAACCCAGCTGATAAGACACAACCGCTGGCAATAGGAATGACATTTATTGCTAAATCTTATTGTACAGTTTTCATGCAACTGTTTTCACAATAAATCCGCGTGAACTCCATCGTACATTTTAATATCTCGTTTTTCTTCCGAGAAGGAGAATCCACAGAAACGCAATTATTCAAGCAAAAGAGCTGAATGCTGGGGGTACAAGTCCTGGCTGAGGGTGGAGAAAGGGTCTGCAAAATAAATTAGCCTGGCATGGTTCTGAATGTGCTTACTGCGGGCCTGACATGCCTTGAAAGAGAATGACAAATACTGCAGCACAGGCTCCCTTAAAAAAGTCATGCTCCAAGCATCAAATAAATGAAGCTTAAAATACCTAAAAGTTCTTCAATCCTTTAACAACCCAAACGCCAAGGCTAGATGACTGACCAGCACAGAAAACAAAAGCTGTTCACAGACCGTAAGATCTGGCTTACGCCAAAGTAATTTTTCAGGGATTTTTTTTTTTGACTCATGAAAAATACTGATTATTTTTTCTTTTTCACTTACTTTGAACAAGAAAGTGTATTTCTTGGTTTATTTGCCAGCATCCGTTCAGGGGTGCCCTGCACAGTCCATGTTCCCTGATGTTCTGCTGCTGCTCTGTTCTTCCAGCACATCAGGTTTTGCTCCCAGAGCAAATTACCCATCTGACGGCCATCAAAGTCATTTGTGAATCCTTTGCTTTTTGTGATTTTTTTTTGCTACAGCTTGAAACATTCATTTTTTTCCAATTCTTTTGTGTTTTTGTGCCAGATACAGCTCCACTCACAACAAGCCTGATCAATGCTTTAGCATCTCCTTGCACCATAGCGGGAGGCTTCCAATCAATCAAAGCCCCAAACCATTGGTGCTTCTCTAAGAAATTGAAAGAAACAATAACAGAAACAGAAGAGAGTGGTAACATCCTCTCACAGCCTCCTATTTCAATTTCAGCCTGATTGTCCAAATTATACAGTGACTGGAGGAGGGCTACACGATTCCCAAAAGCAGAGGGCCAGACTTCTGTCTGGTAATGTGAATCTCTTGATGGATTCACAGGGAAAAAAAACATGAAGGGTTTGGCTCTTTGCTGGGGAAAAGCTGCTTTTTGCTCACATCCCTGGGGACTCACAGACGTGTGAAAGTGGTCCCCAACTAGCCCCTGTGGTGCCAGAAGTTCAGAGTGGTCATACAAACTCATTTCCTAATGAATCACCAGGGGGTGGAGGCTGCGGGGCTGCGCTTGGTGCCTGCACTGCATGGGCACCCAGTGCAGGGCTGCTTACACAGGCAGGGCGCTCACCTCCAAGACCACCTGCTCCAACCATCCCCCTACCACCAATGTCACCACTAACCCATGTCCCCAAACACCAGGTCCAACCTCTCCGTGAACGCCCCCTCAGGGCTCCACCACCTCCCTGTGCAACCCATCCCAATGCTTCCACTCCTCCTGAGAATAAACTTCTCCTGATTTCCAACCTAAACCTCCCCTGGCACAACTTGAGGCCATTCCCTCTAATCCCATCACTGGTTACCTGTGAGCAGAGGCCACCCCCCAGCTCCCCACACCTTCCTTCCAGGCAGTTGCAGAGAGCAGTGAGGTCTCCGCTGAGTAACTCAGTAACAGCACCCTTCAGCTGCCTGCAGGATCGAATCTGACTCGTCAGTGCTCCAACGTCTTTTACAAATGCTAGAAAACAGCCAAAGAGCAGCAGAATGATTTAAACTCCTCTGGTAAGGCAGGCTGGATTGTATACAACCACCAAGTAAGGAGCACACTT